GATGCCAGAAACGGGTCCCGCGGCTCACGGCTCAGCAATGGAAGGGGTAACGCACACAAGCGCGAACCGCGTACATGTGTCACATGTACGCGGCTCGCGCTTGTGTGCGTTACCCCTTCCATTGCTGAGCCGTGAGCCGTGGGACCCGTTTCTGGCATCACTGCTGGTAGCTCGCCGGACCGCCTTATATACCGGCGGCCGGCCTCCCACTCGCACGATTCGACGTGTGGTGGGGTGGTCCCTACGGTGTGGCCGCGACACAGGTATGGGAGCTTAGGGACGCCATAAACGCCGAGCCTCGAAAAGCGCACGGTGGATCGGCCCGCTAGGCCATTAGTAATGGTATCGTTAGAGTAATTATATTCAATATGATAATACATAATGTGGTTATATTCAATTTTATAATACATAATATAGCTTATAATATAAAAAACGCGTACATATAGGATATTTTATATAAATATAAGGTAATATAATATATTATAGGATTAATCGCATATATCGCGCAAACGATCACGTCGCTCGGACAACCAATCGTGCAGTTTGCACACGTTCTCCAACGCACAATTCTTCGCGTGATCCGCAGCGAAAGACCCGCGAAGCGTTCAGAGTCTCCAGGTGCCCGACATCCTCAAAATCGGCATCGATGGTCTCGACAGCGACGTCTCGATCCTCGGCGACGTTCCCCAAGATCTCGGTCAGCCACTTCTTCTCACGATCTTTGACGTAGATTCGCACTGTCGAATCAGGGCTCGACCTGCGGCACACGGCGTCCCGAACGAGTTTTTCCATCAACCTATAATTCACGTGTCCATCGGTCCACTTTAGCTGATGATGGTTCGCGATCAGCCAACGCGCTCGAGATTTCTCCGTTTTCGTCAGCAGATCCCACGATATAGACACGCGGAAGATGTGATGCGTTAACTCCGCGCCATTTCTTAGTATGGCCACTTCTTTCGCGACGAATCTTTCATTGACTATGAAACCTTGGAGATCGACGAAGGTCGGCGTGCCCATCGTCGTCGCTAGTGGAAGTCGAAATGTTCGCTTTTCTAGATTTCTTCTTCTTAAGCGCTTTATTCTCCCCCCCCCCATGTTTTTTCAAATATCGCTGTACTAGATTACTCTACACGATTCTGTGCACGACGTTGGCGAGCGGATTGTACTCCACCACTCGATCGTGACTAATGAGACAGTAGGCTGTGGTGTTAGAGAGGACATTCTCCTTGCAGTCGAACTCTATACGAACGTCCACGGTGGCGCTCTTGATCGATTCGTTCTGTCGAGAATAGTCGATGACCACGAGCGGGCCATAGACTAAAAATTTCTTCAGATTTAAAAGCGCCTCGTCGTTATCGCATCTGTTGTACGTTCTCCGAAATCTCGAGTACATGTCATACAGCACGGCAACTTTGCGCTTCTCGAAATTCAGATTCATATCGTTGTAGAGATAAAAATCAGAATTAAGATACAGCTTGATGTTGGTCAGTTTGCAATCGGCGAATAGAGAAGGCTCCTCGGACAGAACGTTCTTTCTTCCGGACTGTAGCGCAAAGATAACGTATCGCGGTTCCCCGAGCTGCATCGCCGCTTTGACCACCCACGAGTGTTTGGTCGTGCTTTGTAAAAGTGGAAACTCGTAGAGATCCCGCGAACGGAAAGCGACGCTCAGGTATCGTCTGCTGTCCAACGTGCGCAATAGCGTTAATTTATTGACGCGTCGTTTAGCACTATATGAGGCATTCGCCACTGTATCTTCAACAGAACGATCTTAGGCTCGTGCGTTTCGCGCGATATGATACAATTGTTATCGTTGTGCGTTTGTATCATAATAAGTTCGTGTCGCGAACTCACGACGCGCTTGTAATCCTCGCAGAAACCTAGCAACACGTTGAGGGGTACGCAAAAGTTGAAATCGCCGATCGGCGAATGAGTTATTGCTGATAAGTCCCATCCAGCGTTCTGTAATATCTTGCCTCTCTCGACCGTCAGCGATGCGTAATTCTTGATCGTGCTCGTTTATTCCGACGTTTCTGCTTCGATCGATCTCCACGTCAAGCTCGTAGCAAATCTCCTCGAACATAAACGCCGCGCAATTGTTCATCAGCCTCGTCGCCGGCGCGCCTTCTCCCTCCGCGCCCGACGGTTTCTTCGACTCGAGTCTGCCCTCGACGTAGAGAAAACTCTCGCACGGTAACGTGTACAGATCCTGTTGTATAGGAATTCGTATCTCGTCGCTATTTCCGAACGTGGTATTGGCGTAATGGTTGTACGTGTGAGTCTCGATCTTGACGATGCGATCGTCGAAGACTGGTTCTCCGCCGATGCTTAAGATGTCGCTCATTTCGCTTTCACAGAGAAGCGGTTTTCGGCACGACGAAACTTAAGGAGTGCAAGAAAGCAGCGTTGGCGACGGTCAACCTTCTTGTCCCCTTCCTCCTCTTCTTCGCGTCTAGGGGCGACGCGACGGCGACGACGGGCGCGTTACTCGTGTTCGACTCGTTCACGACAAGTATCGCGCGCACGTTTCTCTACGTCTCGAGGAGGCTTCCATTCATACTGGTGACGAGTCAAGACTCATCGCTGAGCGGCTACGGGCGCCAATTTTCAATCGTTATGATTTGGACCGCTCTGGAGACGTGCTGGGGATTTCGTCTCTCCGTGGCAATCGGCACTGCATCCATGGAGCGAGATTCCAACATCGCTCTGGAATCGTATGTACTGTGTTAGAGTGGCGTAAGGTGCGAGGTCTGAATAGCTCAGTGGTAAGAGCAGTTGCCCGGAAAGCGAAAGACTCGGGTTCGATTCCCGATTCAGCCACTTGTACCTCGCATATTTTTTCAGACCCGCAAATGTTGTTTTCTAACAATTATTTGTCGGGCTGAGGAAGTGTAAACGCCCTACACAGACACAACAGTGCCGCTGTCACGGAAGAGATGGATGCTTGGTTCGTGCCTCCTCCCGCCTTAAATCCCCCCCTCGCTTCACTCTGCGGTGTACATCTGTGCCAGCGTAAGTGCTGGTAATCTGTCCACTAGATCCACCACGTGGTGACGGTGGAAGATCGTATTATTAATTGGGAGCAGAAGAGGGGGCTGCTTAGGCGTAGTGGTTTAGGATGGACTACTCAAGGAGGCTTCCATTCATACTGGTGGTGAGTCAAGACTCATCGCTGAGCGGCTACGGGCGCCAATTTTCAATCGTTATGATTTGGACCGCTCTGGAGACGTGCTGGGGATTTCGTCTCTCCGTGACAATCGGCACTGCATCCATTGAGCGGAAAGCGAAAGACTCGGGTTCGATTCCCGATTCAGCCACTTGTACCTCGCATATTTTTTCAGACCCGCAAATGTTGTTTTCTAACAATTATTTGTCGGGCTGAGGAAGTGTGTAAACGCCCTACACAGACACGACAGTGCCGCTGCCACGGAAGAGATGGATGCTTGGTTCGTGCCTCCTCCCGCCTTAAATCCCCCCCTCGCTTCACTCGTATAGTAAGTTTACGCTGTACTAATCCATTGTTTTTACAACGAAAGTCTGTTTACGACTTTTAAGCGTGGGCGAGAGGCAAAGCCTCTCCCCCTGCATCTCCACCCTCCCCCCGCAAAAAAAACTGACCAAATGCAAATCTAATTTTTATTCAAAAAATAGAAATTGGTTTGCGTTAGGTTAGAATTTTTCGGGGCGGGGATGCAGAGCCTCTCCTCCATGCATTCACTTTGCAATGATTGTAAACAAAACTTTTTCTAGTTAGAAAATGACAAATACATTAGTACGACGTACACAAACTTCATTCTTCCTATTATTTCATAATATATAAAGAAAAATATTAAGATGGTCAAATTTTAATTTGTTATATTTCCTAAACTAATGCCGTTCACCATTTGATTTTTGCGGAAAATTATTCAGAACAATCTCCCTTATATCATATCCAAGTGGCGATAAAATCGGTAAGATGTGATCTATTATGTATATTTACCAAATTTATATAATCAAATATAAATATAATAAAATATGTTTATATATCAGTTAAGCATGAGATACAATGGCAATGAGAGCACAGCGCATAAAAGTTTATTACAAACAAAATCTCAATTGTATCTCAATTGTATCGTAAAGCGAACGTTTCGGCCCTTTTTTTGGGGCTATCATCAGCGCACGGAATAATAATATCAAAAAATATTAAAAAATGAAGATGGAAGGAGAGATTGATGGCGGGAGGCACTACACCTGTAATGGCTGTAAGGCAGGCTGAGATGGTGGGCGTCTGCAAGGCGGTGCGGCGGCCGGCAGGGGTGCAGGAAAGGATGGGATCCCTTATGGAATTACTCAATAATAAGGTTCCTAGCAACTATGAAATCAAGGTATTACGAGCGGAGCAAGTTAAAATTAA